GAGTGTATGTGATATGTGATATGAGTTATAGGCCATTGGTTGGCATGTGTTAGGTTGTGTATGAGTATATGGATTATGTGGAGGTATGTGTGGTTTGTAAACTCGTGGGGATCGCTTTTGAATTTGGGGTGCAGCAGCTCGTATTGTGTTGATATTAGAGCTTCACTTGGCTTTGGTTGCCAGTTCTTGATTGTGTTGATCGTTTCAGAGATGTGTCAGTTCGGACAATTGACATATAGACGTTTGGAGCTACTTATTCATCGAGTTGTACCAGTTATGGTTGGAGTGATCAATTTATTTGAAGACTTCTAGGAGTTGAGCTTCTGCGATTTTATTCTTACGATGCAGTGGCTATCACGACATCGAGTAGCATTGGATTGTTTGTATTTCTGGAGCATAGGAGATTTTCATAGCCGCCATTTCTACATGTTGAGGAATTCTTGGATGTAAGATCATATGGATATTTGAGACCATTTTGTTGGTGAAGGACGACAGAAAGAATTAATTGCGGAACCTTTCAGTTACAGAGTATGAAGATGTATTTATGATCTTTGGAAGGGTCATCACCAAGCATAGGAGACGCTTTGGCGATTGAAATGGAACGAAGAACGTCACCGGTTTCACGAGTTCTGTACTGATTAGCGCCAACAGAGATGGCCGAGCCGATGAACCAGATGGAAGATTTATTAAATAGAAATTTTATTAGACATAGTACTTCACCTTGGGGACCACTAGTGTTGTTGCGACGAAAAATAGATGGGAGTTTCAGATCGGGTATCGATTGTAGAGATTTGAATAGAGTGATCATCAAGAAAAAGCATCTGCTTCTGCGTATTGATGATGGGGTTGGACTAGCTGCTGGGAGGTTCATTGTTTTCGAGGATTGTCTTGGCATCAGATTACCACAAGATTATTGTAGCTGAGGGACTTGTGCGGAAGACGGCTTTCCGCTCAGGTTATGGGTATTATGGGATTGTAGTGATACCAATTGGGTTGATAAGTGCACCGTTAGCATACGTGAAGCTTATGAATGACCTCTTTCGTGATCACTTGGATAAGTGTACGATTGTATCTTTGGACGGCACCTCGATGTATTCTTGGAGTAGAGGAGTATGACAAGCATTTGCAGATTGTGCATTGTTGCACGAGGATCAGGTTATTGCATATAGATGGCGCCCGTTGGGACATACCGAGATCCACTACCCTGCTCATGGTTCAGAGTATCTGCAGTGGTATTTGAGATAAGATTTTGGAGATTATAATTGTTCAAATAGGAAGTTCAGATATTCTGGGATCATCAGAGTGAGTTTTATCTTCATTTATTAAAAACTTGTATTTGAGGCAGTGCAGTTGGATTGAGTTGGGAGCAAACAACAATTCAAATATTACATGTCATCTGGTAAGGTCAAAAAGATGACAAATGCTTTGTATAGGATCGATGTTTAGAGAACCAAGGAGGTTCATGAACTTGCTGGAACACTTGTTAGTCTCAAAACTTTGTGCGATTATTGTAGAGGGATAAACATCAAGCCTTGAGGCTTTGGAGTAGGTAGATTTTCTATGGAGGATACGCGAAACACAGGAAAACAATACGACTTTGGTTATGCAGGTTGAGCCTCAGAATATTGGAAATCAGACAGTTTCAATAAGGAGGTAGTTGTATCAAAATCGAGTTTGTGTATCGGACGATAATTTGTTAAGAAAATGGATCTTACAGCAAACACATCACCCGCGTTCTTTATCCATCCGGAAATCACCAAGGGATACAAAGATATGAAGTGTTAACTACCATTGGTTTAGAATGAGAAAGATTGTAGCTACATTGCTTCACAGTATTGACATGTCAGATGGTTTTGTCCAGGATCAGATACCTTTCAGGTTATGGTTGAGCTTGTTTAAGGAAGAGTGGAAATGAGGCATGGGGATTGAGTACATTGTTACTGGACTTTTTTTCGTTCATCGCAGGTGGAAAGGATGCCACATGGGTAGTCATGGACAGACTTACAAAGCTAGCTCATTTCCTAGTAATTAAGAAGACAGAGCTGATTAGTGGGCGCATGTTTACATCAGTGAGATTGTTAGATTGCACAGAGTACCTATCAGCATTGTATCGAATCGGGATGTAAAGTTCACATCTGCATTTTGGAGAGCCTTTAAGGAGGCGCTTGAGTCACAGGTTCATATGAGTACATTTTACCATCTGCGGACAGATGTTCAGTAAGCGAGGATTATTCAGACTTCTGAGGATATGCACAGGGTTGCGTCTTGCAGTGGAAAAGAAGCTAGGGAAACATCTACTTTTAGCACATCTTGTCTACAGTGAAAACTATCATTCGAGTATGGACAAGGCACGATATGAGACTCTTTTTGGATAAACATCATCGTATACCACTTTGTTGACAAAAGTGGGGGAGCGACATGAGATAGACCATTAATTGTTCCAGAGACGGTAGATCAGATGGACATACTCAAAGTTGGCTTTGGAAAGGCCATAGTTGTAAGAGAAGTTGTGCAAATAAGCGTCATAAGGATCTGGAGTTACAGATAGGCGACCAAGTATACCTGAAAATAAGAACATCTCAAGAAGGATACAAGATTCAAAAGCTAAAGAATCTTAAGCTGAGATTACATGGGACCATATTCCATTGTAGAGCGGATTGGAGCAGTGGCTTACAGATTGCAGTTATCAGCTGAGTTGTTAGATTTTCATGACGTGTTCCATGTGTCAGTATTGTGGAAGATCGTGAGAGGGCCATAGCTCATTTTGCAGCAGCACCACCATGCGATCTCGGTAAAAATTTGTCTGCACCTATTCAACCAGTTGAGATTTTGGAACGGCAAGGTTCGTTGGCAGAGGAGACTGAGACTCAGATGATGATAGATTATCCAGAGTTGTTCCAGAGATGGTATTGGACAGTGGTTTATGAATCGAATTCGAGGACGAATTCCTTGTAAGTAGGGGAGAATTGTAACGACCCAAAACCCAGTACAGTTATTTCGGCCCGGCAAGGCCCAATAGTGTGGCAGAAACCCTAAACTCTTCCTATTTAAAGAGAGATTAATGTTCAGCAGATACGTTTTGAGAGAACAGAGTAACGACTAATCAAAAACAAGAATTTCGAAGCCAAAATTTGAGGTTACCTTCTACCTTCTTAGATCTACGTATNGACTATCGACGCAACTTTGGAGGGCGGGGGCTCAGAGACGTCTGGGCTAGCGACGCAACTGTGTGGTGCGCGGTGCAGAGACGTTTGCATTCGACGCAGATTTGGAGGGCGGGGGTACAGAGACATACTGTACTAGCGACGCAGCGTATGATATATATCCATATATGGAGATGCGTGGTGTGTGGTCTAGCTATGCACTGTCAGCGCATTGTTTGTTCTATGTGATGCCTTAGGTGTCTTGATTGTTCATGTTAGAGCTAAACTTCCATAGTGGGAGTTCTATTTTACTCAAGTCAGTGTTTTGCGTGGTTAGCATCCCATACCTCACTGAGTGACTCCCCTGTTACTCACTCCTCTCTCTTCCCCATTTCAGGTGATACTGACGATCAGGAGTGATCATTTCGGACTGGTGCTTTTGGGAGTTTTATTTATTTATATTTTCAGACTTATTTTTATCGTTATTTTGAGATTTATTATGTTATTTGGATTTGTGGAGTTTGGAGATGATTTATGCGATTTAATAAATGGAGATTTCAGACATTTTTATTTATTTTATTATTTTGGAAAATGCGGGTGTTACA